GAAAGAAGTCAAATTAAATTTTGTAAAACACATTAGTGCATTCACATGTTCAAACCTGAGCCTACAACTCTATACCAACTACTCAACTAAAGTCATTATACGTAAAAGAAAAAAGTCACTTATGACTTCTACTCCATGTGGAAAATTACCAAAGACTGCAGTTTTTCTAACCACGAACAGTCCCGTTTCCCATGTGCAGTTGGTTAGCTCCTCACTGTATCCCCAAGGAGTCTGCGTGAGTCTGAAGTACTGCAGAAAAATGAGAATTTTCACACTTTAAAAGAGCCAAGGCAGCATTTGTAATGACAAAAATAAGAGCAGAAGTAAAATAGGAAAGAAAGAGTGATTCTCAGTTTTCCTTCCCCTCTGTAAAAAGCAAGACCGTGGAGTTTCCAGGTAAGAGTCTACTGGGGCTTGCTTTTAATTTATACAGGACATTAGGAAAGAAAAAGAAATAAAAAGAATACCAACTCCCTTAAATTTCCTAGCTCAAAGTTGCTTTCAGTGAATGCTAAAATGAAAGGAGTTATCAAGGCCAAATTCACTATACAGCTTTTGTAAACTGTTAGAAGCAATTTGCAGGACCTGTGCTTTTACGTAGGTTTGCTTTCACTCTCAGCTTGAGTGTTAATTTTTGACTAGTTCTTTCTATCCTTTCGTCAAATGTACACATCCAATTCTTCTGGCATCTCATACACACCACACACACAAACACACACACACATGCATTACACACATAAGCAAATACGTCTAGCCACTTGGTAACAGTATTTTTAAAAGTGGCTTGATATCTGGATTAGAGAGTAGAATACTTTCAGACAAGTCTCATGGGCACAATGTGTTAACTGTTTTCTGTGCCACCATTTTATTGTATGCGAGCAGACGGCAAAATGGTGGTTCCAGCATTTTGTTGTATAAGGACTCCTTCACATTCAGCCTCTGGTTGAAGAACCAGTTTGTATACCGATAGAAAAGCCAGATTTCTCAGGCTGGGAGACTGACTAAATAAACCATGTACACAAATCTTCTTCCACTCACTGCTTTGCAGATGCTTAACCAAAATTTTACATATATAAGTACAAAGGGAGCAAATCCTGATTAAAATAAAAAATGGAACAGAAATGATATTCCAGTTAAATATATAATTCAGTGGTGTTAGAAAATACATATGTTATTAAAAGACCTTCCAACATTGCCATAAGTAAACTACCTTGAGAAAAGATCCAACACAGAATTAGCATAGAGAATGTGAATGTTTTACTTGTGCATAAACGATCTTTCCAGATCAAAGTTGAGGTCACTGGCAAGATAGTTTAGGTGAGCTCATTCTACAGTTATTTGCACATGCAAATTGGGGTTCCAATTTAAAAAATATTATTGCTTTTTGTTCATGAGAAGAGCTTTGATTAAATTCTTAAAATAAGAATATGAAAATAATTGAGCAATGTAGCTGTGCTAATAATACTCAGTTTTAATTAGCTCCTAAATATAATCAAAGCTAAAATGGATTTTGACGTACCCTTAACTGGATCTCAAATTGAGGAGAGATGAATTTGACTAAGAGAAGATTTTTACATTGTTGTCTATTACAGCTGAATTACCACTCTCTTTTGTCTGAAGAAAAACATTTTCTTCTCAATGAGGTATATATTTTTAAGACTGAAGACAACTGAAGCTTACAGCATATAGTATTTGGTTAGTTTTTTTTTTTGACTGCAGTTGCCAAACATTTGAGATTATAAAAATGATAGTACTACATAAAATAGACCTGCAGCAACACTGTTTATGGCACACGCAACAATATTATTTTCTGCTGTTTGGTGTGCGGGAGTTGTAAATAGGAAAATGTGTAAGCCATTAAATCTAGTAGCAATAGGACTCAAAGCAAGGTTTATTATACCAATGCCTGAAAAGCTTTACTTTTTTATCTCTGTGTGTTAAATTTTCGTGTTTGCAACAGTATTTTAGCTCTGGAGCTATTTATCTGGTAGCATCTTTGAGAAAAAGGAAATGGACAGATGTCCATAAACAAAGGGCTCCACCTGGTGGTAAAGAGGAGGTATGAAATGTTGATAAAGAGAACTAATGCTGCAAAGGCAAACAGATGGAAGAGCAACATTTTGTGTGTGTGTGTGTGTGTGTGTGTTGTGTGTGTGTGTCCAATAATGAATATGTTTGAAGGAAAGAGAATGACAAAATCCTTCAAATTTGGATTCCAATGTGGATACAGCCTTACAGCTAACATTATTTGATTATTTCTTTCACAGTCGTTCCAATATGTTTACAAATTATTTTATTCAAAATACATACATCTGAACAGATACTAACATATATGACCCTGACAAATACTAGGCACAACTGATGGCAAGCTATCCATATCGTCTGATCATCTTAGGTTTTAGTAGAATGCCATCTAGTAGACAGATTTAAACAAAGGAAGTGTTTGTTCCAACATGAGGGCGCCCTTTAGGTGGCTTTGTGGCTCACCTAGTTAGGAATACCTGGAAAGGATGTGGTGCAGAGCTCTGGGGAGGGAAGCAAAGGTTTCAAATCCATGAGTAAGAAACAGAACATTGCTCATTTTAAAATGTCATCTGTGGCTGAAGTGTTGAAGAATTTGAATCTACGTATTGTGATTCTTCCACCTTTTGAAACTCTAAAATTAGGCCAGGAATTACATATATCAAATACTATGCAAAATGTAAAACAGGCATGCCGTTTATGGCTCTCTACGTAAGGTGGAAATTAAATCTTCAGCCTCCAATAAAATTGTATTTCTGTAATAAAACTGCTGCACCTTGACTCTAGACTACATTGAATCCCAAATTAAACACTCCATTTGCTGTACTGTAACAAGCAAAAGGGTTTGCTACACTGAACAATATTACAGATAGGAAAAACGTATTCTCTTTTGCCTTACCACCTACGTAGAGACCACCAAAACAGGCTAATTCCTCATCTCTTCTTTCTCAGAACACGACATGTTTTGATACAAGAAATTTTAAAATTCCATCTTTCATTGCTAAAATTTATATTTCTTCCTAAATTCTATAAATCAGCATAGGTGACTAGGCCTAAAAAAAGTCAATCAAGTAGGATATTTACTACAAAATGTCTACTGCATTTCATAGGTAACTCAGGCTTATAAGCAGAAACAGCCGGTGTGCTAAAGGCTAGGTACATTTCTTTATGCATTATGTATAATTCCCCATAATGTACATGCAACATTCACTCCACATCCGTATCTGAAGTGCACACATACTGCTACATAATTTATGAAAGTTTTAAACTTAGGATCTGCTAATACATATCTATTTATCTCACCCAGTGTTGATTTAGAAGAATTAGACCGGATGTTATTTTAAGCAGTCTAACTCTATAGGTTCTTTTTCCCCCACCATGTCATGGCCCAGTCAACACTGACTTCTGGCATTGGTAAAGTGTCTCTAATAGAAATGAAAGCCTACCCAGGGTGAGGAATAGAAAGCAATGAATACTAATGTTGCATCTTCTTAACTAAAGTGCAGGCGAACAAGACAGGAAGCTGTCGGTGCCTCTCTGCCTCGGCCGTCCTCCCTCGGCTCTGCCAAACCACCCTCTAGTGGACTGAGGGGGGAATTTCCTTTCCTGGTTGCCTCACTCTGCTATTCGTTTAATAAATAAGCTCCCCTCCCCCTCTCTCAGGAGATGGTGGATATTATTAACCTTCAAGCACGATACAGCGAGATGAATGTTAATCATGAAGGGATTTCTCATCAAGTTTAATGGTGTAAGACATAGAGAAGTTGTGTTAGCAGTTTCAATCCTGCTAAAAATGCTAATTGTTATGTTTCATATGATAGGTGAGGATAATAGGAAAACGGCAACAGCTTTAGTGTTTCCATTTGGAAGTTGTTGCCCATAGTTTTGAGGCAAATATAGAGGAAAAGAATACGGTCCTTAGTATGAATGACTTGTCAAGAGGCTAATTTAGGGCTACTTCTTTGGAGACATTGGAGATTTGAGGCTTGATATCCACTGAGCTCAAGACAAGAGAATTTTTTGCTGGGAGGAACTAAAGCCAAAAGAAGACATTTTGGACCTAGAAAGAACACAAATCTATGGTAAGGGATACAGAGGTTATAGTGTTGAGTACTGATCTTTTGAGCATTATCTTCTACAGTTTTCTCTGCGTTTCACTGGCACTTTTGCCAACATGTAGAGGTAATCTTTTTTTAAAGCAGTTATTTCATCCTGACCTAGGAATCATAATAAGTGCACTTAGAAGTCCTAGATAAGCCCCAAGAGAAATGCCATTTTTGTTTTTCTCAGCATGTTCCTTTCCTTGCCCCATGAGTTGTTACCCATGCTGTGGCATAAGGATACCCTACTGTCCCCAGCTTCAATGACCCCAGTCTTGCAGAGTTGGCTTCTCATGCAGCTCAGTTGTTTGTCCTGGTCCCTGTTTGAGCTGGGGTTCTTTTGGGGCACATACACACACAGAGGTGGGGAGTCTGGAATGTTATATGAGCAATGTCTTCAGTGTATACTTTTACTTGACTTTGGTTACCCTAAATTCTATCGCTCAACCCTAAACTTCTATGGTAGCTCATGGTGTTACCTACAACTGAACTGGAAAGCATTTTGCTGCAAGGAAGCTTATCAATTGAATGTGGGCCTTGAAAAATTTCCTTGTAATTTCATAGTTTATGTGTTCAGTTTAACTTTAGAAAGCATCTAAATGATAAATGCAAATTGAAAAATAATCCATTAAGGATATGAGCCTATGTGGATATGGACCTTTTTAACTGTATTGTCCCAGTTTTCATATGTAGCCTTTGTCATCATTTTTTTTACAGACTCCTATAAAATGGAGTCAACATAGAGAAGATATGTGATTCTCCAGGTGCTAACATGAGATGTGATATCAACGACCAGCATTATTTTCCCATCAATAATGATAATTATACTAATTAGTCCAGGCATCACACCTGTGTAAAATCCTTATCCCTATTTTACAGATGAAGTCACTGAGACACCAAAGGTTAATTGCTTGCCCAAAGCCATGTGGCAACTTGGTGAGTACCAGTATTTAAAATCTTACACTCTTGCTTCCTTAACAATGGAACAAAATTATTGCTTGTATCACAGGAGATTGGTGTCAATGAACAATGGAGCAAAGGGGTCACATATTGCTTGTTTTAAAATTGTAGACTCTCTCATATTAATGGAGTCCTTTACTGTGTTTTCCAGGTTGAAGTTACTTTAGTGTCATAAAGCTCCACATACATACTTTTAGCAAAATCAGTAGTCACCCCATGCAGATGAAGGGATGGTAATTAGAGATGGGACAGACCCCAACATATCCTTCATTTGAAGATAGAATAAATTCAGCGAGATACCTAATTATTATCATCTACTTTCACAAAAACATATGTGATTTTTTCCCCCTACCCAAATGTTTTAGTGAAAACTGCAACTGTGCATTAAAAGGCAGTTTTGCATGCATATATTCAGAGAACAATGTGGAGAATCTATCCCTTGGGATAAAAAAAACACCCAGCAACAACAAACTTGAAAACAGATGGTTCTGATACAGTCTGATAAGAATGTAAACAGGAAAATCTTTGTTGACTTATTTCATAGTAATCAGTAATAATTAGTTATTGTCTAGAGGTGAATTACAGATTTCACAAGCATGGCCACAAACAGCCTCTGAAAAGTGAAGCTAAATTTGTGACATCAGTGAGGAATTACTGACCCCTGCCAAACCCTCCTTATTAACATTTTTCTTGATTGACATAAAGGAATGAAACCCTGGAAGAGGATAATTTCTGCGTTCTTTGTTTTTTCTTTTGTCATCATTTGATCATTTGATTTAGATCATTTGATTTAGAGATATTAGACCCCTCTGACTAATCCATGAAAAAGAACTTAAAATTTCTCTACAGCTTAGAGAACTAAAGCTCTCCTTCCTTCCTTCCTTCCTTCCTTCTTTCCTTCCTTCCTTTTTCCTTCCCTCCCTTCCTTCCTTCCTTCCTCCCTCCCTGCCTTCCTTCCTTCCTTTCCTTCCTTATTTGAGGTGAGGGTGGGGCTTTTTTCTTAGATGAAGATAAAATATTTCCTCTTTAGAGTATGGACTGGTGTTTCTATGTTCTCATTGCATTTTTTGTCAAAGACTTCCTCTCCTGGTGGTTATTTAGATTCAGTAAACATCTAATGAATACTTCCTACTTGCCAAGCCCTGTGCTAGGCACTGGGGAAACAAAGATGAATCGAACATACTTTCTTCTTTTATGGGATCCACAGTTTAGTTGGAGAGGCAGGTTTGTAAATAACTAACTATCTCCCAGTTTGTTAGGAAGTAGGCAAGGGCTGGGTGCCATGGCTCATGCCTGTAATCCCAGCATTTTTCAGAGACCAAGGATGAGGAGGATCACTTTAGCCCAGAAGTTTGAGACCAGCCTGGGCAACAAAGTGAGACTCCATCTCTTTAAAAAAATATTAAAAAAAGATTAGCTAGGTGTGATGGTGTATGCCTGTGGTCCCAAATACATGGAAGGCTGAAGCAGGAGGATCACTTGAGCCCAGGAGATCAAGGCTGAGGTGAGTTATGATTGCACCACTGCACTCCAGCCTGAACAACAGAGCAAGACCCTGTCTCAGGAAGAGGAAGAGGAGGAGGAGGAGGAAGGAGGGCGGAGGAGGGGGAGGGAGGATGGGGGGAGTGAAACACAGAGGGAGGAGGATTGCCAGTGAAACACAGAGAAAAATGTAGAAGCTAGAAAAATGTAGAAGATAGAAAGGGAGGAGGAGGAGGAGGAAGGGAGGAAAGGAGGAAGGGAGAAGGAAGGAAGAAGGAGAAGGAAGGAGGAAGAAGAAGAAAGAAAGAAGTGGGAAAGATGGCATGGAGAGGAGTCAGGAGAAGGACTGAGCCTTTGTGGAGGAGATATTAGACCAGGTATTATGTAGTGCTATTACCAAGTCCTGACTGCAAAGGTCACCAGGCTGTTGACTATGACACCCTGAATGAATAATGAACATTTAAATTGGTGGCCAATTCTTTGGATCAGGTGATTGTACACCATCAGTTGTGTGGGTAGCATGCAGACAAGATCATGGTATCCTGCCATGATCTAAAAGTTTGGAGAGGTGCCCTTCTTTTACAATACTTGTAATAGAAAATCTAGGCTGTACTCCTCCATGATAATGTGCCTTTGGAAAGAGTAGTCCCTTCTTTAATATGTAATTTAGCCATCTGAAAATACTTGTTATTAAAATAAACTAATACAAAGAGTCTATGACAAATAGTCTAGGCAGTACATCCTGGAAGCCCTTGGCTTTTATTCAACAATATTCAAGAGCTATTTAGTCAGTGCTTGTAACTCGTCAGACACTACTAGGCATGTGAATTAAGAGAATGAATGCTCTGTGTAACTTCTCCTCTGTAGAACACAGAATCTAGTTGGGAAGGACAATATCAAACAGAAAATTACCCAAATTGTTTATTAATGAAAATGTGATAAGTGCTGTTGGAAGCAGTAAATGCTGTTGTTTTGTCTACCCTGATTCTATTCTTCCAGTGACAGCATCTTGATTTTGTTTTTGAGAACTATCCTTCACCATTGCATGCAACCTTGATGAGACTCTTAGTCGAGGGGCTCTGCCCCTAGCTTGTGATTCAAGCTGGGCCAGTAAGATGCTGTTTTCCAGTAATGAGTGCTCTTTCTCTCTCTCTCTCTCTCTCTCTCATTTCATAGTATAAAGATCTTCAATGTTTGTATTTATGTTGGTCAAAAGTAATTGCATTTTTTACCATTACTTTTAATGATTAATCCTTAGCTTTTCCTTTCAGTTGAGAGTGACCCTTATATCCTTCCGACAGACTTCTTAAGTTTATCTATTAAGTTAACTGCTTGTAACCAGTTGTAGTATTTATAGCACTGCCTAAAAATCCAGGACTCAAATAACAAGTAAACTAAATTGTGGCATGATTTTGAGAGTTTGTTAGAGTTTAAGAGAATGCATTTTACTGACCGTGATGCTTGGAACATTCTATTTTGAACAGCATGAGTTGGTGACATAGGATTAATTTTCTTCTTGTGTCTGTAATAAATAACATTTCCATAATATCGGTAGTCATAATATCTATAAAACAAAATATAAATATTATAAACTTTGACAGTATAGAGCTATACCCTGACAGAAGTCCAGAGATGGTGAGGTGTGTTAACTTTCTTATCTGAGAGTATTAAGGTCAATAACTCTTTTCTAAAGCTGCTAGATCCAGAAATTAATACATCTATCCAACTGAAGAACTAAAAAATCATGAGCTAACCCAAATTGGGGAGCAGGTGGAGAGGGAAGGAAGGCATATAAATGAATGAAATTCTTCATCTTTCATGCAGAGAAGTCAGTAGGTACTGACTACCTAAGATTGAAAAATCAAGAGAGAGAGATGCAGGCATATTATTTATTTGAAGTTAAAGTAGAAACCACTGCAAGAAATGAAATGTAAATTTATTAATAATGACTTCTTTTGGAGAACAGATGGTAGGAGAAGGGTCTAGATAGAGGGTATAATTTGACACAAACTTGGCTGCAGAAGATCTGGCATTCCAGAAATATATGCGTCATTAACCTAGTGATGGCATTAAGGAAGTGATATTATCCTGGGCTGTGTTAAGACGAGTATTATTTGCAGCTAGGAAATAACCCTTGTGTCAAATTTATTGTAGGTTGGGCTTTTATTTGAATATTACACTTTGGGTCTGTAACTTAAAACATATGCGGGAAAATTGCATAGAATCCACGTATAGAAGAGGAAAATGATGACAGGAATTGGAGACTATGTACACAAGGAAAGGAGGTGGGTTGTTTTTTCTGGAGAAGAGAAGGCTGAAGGGAGACAAAATTAACAACCTATGGACAGTGAGGTGGAACTCTGGAGAACACCAGTCAACCTTCTCCATCTCACTGGACTGAACAGAAGAAAATGGATTTAGACTGCATCAGGAGAAAGTCTGTTTTTAACACACGGGAAGACTTGATGACCTGTGGTTGTGACTGAACGTGGGAACAGGATACCCCAAGAACTTTTGGAGTACTTTAGGAATAAGATAGAAATATTCATTTTCATAGTAAGGGTTTGTATTAGACTTGAGGTCCCTTTAGATATAGCAATCACATTCTATAGTTAGATGTCTGTGAACTTACATATGGAGAAAGGTTAACGATCAAGTGGTCTAAATAGTCTCACCTTGGCTGTGGTTCCCAGGTAATATCTCATTAGGGGAAAAAAATCAATATTCACATTTTTTTTTCTTTGAAGTACTATGCTATCTACTGGTTCTTTTAAAATATATATGCATGTACATATATATAACTTTATATATCATATTTCAAGAGAAATTCATATAGTCTTAGGAGCAATAGTTATCAAATTCAAAGTTTGCACCATTAAAATATTAATGGTTTATTTTTCTAACAAAAGCAATTAAGATTTTGATGCTGAAAATCTTCAAAAACACAGAAAGCACAGGAAATATCTTTTTTTTTTTTTCATTAAAACATGAGCAAGCAAACGAAAACACACAAACAAATTTGGACCTGTCTTATCATGACTGCTGCTAAGGTGGTCCAGCTGGGTTTCCCTGTAGCCAGAATCTGGTCCCCTATGCTCATTCTTTCAGGAAGGAGGTGTGAGTGCCTGATTAGCTGTGTCTTTATCTTTCATCCTCACTGCAATTGGATCTCACTTACCCAGTCTCTGACACTTATGTCTTGAAACAACTATTAGAAATGTGGTGATGGGGCCGGGCGCGGTGGCTCAAGCCTGTAATCCCAGCACTTTGGGAGGACGAGACGGGCGGATCACGAGGTCAGGAGATCGAGACCATCCTGGCTAACACGGTGAAACCCCGTCTCTACTAAAAAATACAAAAAACTAGCCGGGCGAGGTGGCGGGCGCCTGTAGTCCCAGCTACTCGGGAGGCTGAGGCAGGAGAATGGCGTAAACCCGGGAGGCGGAGCTTGCAGTGAGCTGAGATCCGGCCACAGCACTCCAGCCTGGGTGACA